CAAAGATTTTGATCCTCTCAAAGTTGGTCATTTCTTATGCACATGCTCACAACATTGTTTTTCTATTAGTCTAAAGTTGTAAAGCTTGTCTAATTATTAATTATTTTTCTGAATCCTTCATCAACTTTAGGCCAATCTGGGCCAACTATTCTTCAAGATGGCGTTCAAGGCAGAAAGCTCCATCTTGAGGTACCAGTTGATTCAGCCTATGTAGCTGACGATCTTTGTGTTCGTATGGACGCCAATCGAATCTGCATAACTGGAAAAACGAAGGCGTCTACTAGCGGTGGAAATTCGGACATCTCTGAGGCTTCGGGCAACGTCGCTCTTTTCGGCGACACTGCTTCCTCATCATCTTCTGCAATGATGATAGAATTCTCGCGTTCATTTGAGATCCCTGAGACTGTGGACCCTTTCTCGGTCACTGCGCAACTGATTGGACACACTCTTGTTATTGAAGCACCATTAAGGTGCACGGTCTAAATCCTGCCTTGTCTGGCATTTTGATTAAACGACAATCGGAGCAAGGAGTATGCTGTGAATAAGCACTCTTTGGAACACGAGTGCATTCCTCTACGTGTATCCATCGGAGAAAGAAAATATAGCTATTTTGAGAGACAAGAACTTCAGGCAGATTTAAGGCAAAATGAGTGTGAGGACCAACTAAGTTTCGCTTAAACGCATAAAATCTACGAATCTTGCGTTTTTTGTTATATGAATTTCCTTCATTTATCACTTTTGTTATTAGATTAGCCATTTCGTTCCTTTTTAAATCAGTTTGACTACATCCAATCAGCAAATATTTCTGTTAACTTCGTCCCCTATGCGCTTTATTAACTATCTATTCCTGCAATTTTTCTTCAATTATTTTCCCAACGCTACTTTTGGTCTCCATACCTATCTCCTTAAATGTGCATATCTAGGGGAAAAGTAGATGATAAAATCAGGAGAAGTTGCTTGCACTATTAAGGAAATCTGATTAGCACTATTATTTGGGTTTAATTGATTAGGTACCATAAAACAACAGTAACTAGTATGGGATTTCTATTGACACTAAGGAGCATAAACTGGGCTATACTGGGAAATTATTAAGTAGATTTAGGCCTGAAAATGGCGCTCTGGTATTATGTGGGTGCATATAGACTCATTTAATCATGCTTTTTAATTGGTACTCTATGCACATGTACACGAGAGTTTGGGAATTTGATATTACCGAACTCTAGTTTTCTGGCCATTGTCACTTGGTACGTCTCCGCACCTCCCTCTTCCTATGGAGTTACTCTAGGCTTCGCATTGCTACCGATTCTCCGTTTTTTCTGCCATTCATCTCATCAATTAAAAACTGCTTTTCGCTCTTTTCGTGTACACTTATTTTCCCCTGCATGTCAGTTCGCAAGATTTATTGCATTCTAACACAGAATTTGGAAGAGTCATTGTCATTTGACTCCATTTTGACTGCTCCCCCAAGTTATTTACGCAATCACGCATACTCTTATTCGCCGCTTTTTCTAAAATGATAACGCCTCTGAGAAGTGTCATTACTCTTTTAATAATTAATGGGCTGCCGACGCCATCAGCCCACTTTTCCGACAACGGTTCTAATCACAGGCAAGCTGTCCTCTGAGATAAATGGGATTCCGATGGGTCGGCAATCAAATAGACAGCTTAATTTGTTTTATGTACTGTGACTTGGTAGGGTTCAGCGAATGAGTTGCCTGGATGATGTAACTTAGCTATTTGGGCTTGAGGCATTTCATCGTACGTCTTATCGGGATATCAATGCTTATTATTGCAAGACACCTGCCGGGAAGTATTTTCTCGGTCTGACTTGTAGGGGCTCGTTGGCTGCGCATTTCAACGTATGCGGCTTTCTACAAGTCTCTTTACCGTTTTCACCATTTATTTACAATCTGCAAGGTTCAAAATCGAGGTTTTATTCATTTACAGAAGAGTGAAGACGATTGCGTTGGCTGGAGCTGTGCCTCTCCCTATCCGCTTTAGGGCTGAAATTTCACCGATGCCACTGATTTTTGCAGGGGAAGGGTGAGAAGTGTTGGTTTTTCACTAAAATTAACTGCATCATGCATCCTACAAGATTGCTTCCTCCAATCTGGTTTGAACCGTAGAGGTGCATATTCAGGAGAGAGTTCTCTTCCTACACGCCGGTCTGAGGCTTGAGTTACCTTCGAAATCGTTTAGGGTCACTCTTACTCTCACATCTGAGGTTTGAGTCTCGTTAGGGTGAGATGAGGCAGTGAATTTTGGTGAAAAATAGAGCCTTCTTTTCGCTTCTTTGGGCTCCTATATGAGGGCAGATCCCTCATAGTGATGGCCAAATATAAGCAAATCACATAGGCTGTAATAGCTTAGATGAGATATACTTTATTTCTGGAATATCTGCTTCTTCCTACAAGGATATTTCTCCAGAATTGGTGGTCGGCCTAAGTTCGATTTTAACTCCGCCAACTTTTCAGGTGGTGTTGGGGGAAGTAAAAGTTTGCTCAGATAATACATACTGTCTTTAAATAGTCCGGAGTCAGTGTTATCATCTGGCCGACAATTTGTCCAAGTTTGCCGAATGAAAGGCGCCATTGCTTTACTGTTGCACGTACGCTCAGGTGCACACGCAATTATGACCACCTACCAATTAATTTAATTAGATCAAGCAAATTGTTTTTAACCTCAGCTGTCTGAAACAATTGAAATGCATTTTTTGCTGAAAAGCAATAGGAACAGGTTGGCCGGCCCATACGAGGATCGTTGAAATCTCCAGTAATAGTTTTAAGAAGGGCTGTTATGTGTTTGGTGGGCTGTTTTGCCTTCAGCAGGCGCAAACTGTCAATCGAGCCCGGTTAACGTCTTTTCACCGACCAAACAGGACCGAACTATTTCATTGGATTTAGCAGGGCAGTAGTTCTCAGTCTCCATAGGTGTTCGTGACGTCAGCATAGCCTTTGCCAAAGGAGATGTCGCTTGAAGACAGTCCAAACTAACAAGTGCTTAAGAAATTTAGGACACACTTGAAGAGTCATGTTGGAGTACCTTTCATTTCGTTTGAAAAGGCGAGTGGAAGGGATTGGTAAATTGGCTCCATCGGAGGCTGGGGGGGCTGTGGTTGTAGATTTGTGCAAACAGGTCTTCGGCAAACCGCCCTACGACCTCGATGAATCCATTCTAAACGACAATTCACTAAGAAAGGTAGCCGGCTTCAAACCTACTTCCTTATATCCCAATTTGGTCCACATATGCATCTCATGTTTTGGTCGCATGTCCTATGCTTTGCCTCTACATTTGCTCATAAGTTAAGTTAAGTGGCTGCGGATAGCGTAAATTGGCTACAGATGAAGCTTAAAATGGGTGCAATTGAAACCGAACAGCTGCATCCTCTAAAACATTTATGCTTTTGATCCTGCAATATTACTGCATGTAATTGCGTCCCATTGCACACGTGTTGTGTGAGTGCATCGCTCTTGAAATGAGTGTGATGTGAGAGTCTAAACCAAATTCCAGTCTAATCAAGCCTCCTCCTTTTGCTCAGTGGTACTTCTCGTTCTCCCCTCTCTAAACCTATCCAACAGC